CACTCATAGAGCGTGCAATGGACGCTTTCAGCTTTCGAACGACTGATTAACGATTCTGATAAGTGGCTAATATTTTCGGTAAGGTTTGGCTTACATATAAATGAGAGAGAGTGGAAAATCATAAGCTGCCGATTCAGTCATAAAACCGTTAAAACATTCCATAGTGAGAGAGTGCGCGGCACTCCAATAAAGATAAAGAATTAATTAACAACAGATTTGATGCAATTGCAACAGAGACAGAAACAGACACAGCAACAGCAGCAACAGCAGCAACAGCAGCACCACCACCGATAACCAAATAGCTGTAAACATTGAAATCATGTGTAGTATGACCAACTGACGTCACTTTATGGCTTCTCCAAATTAAGCAAATTTTTTTACGACCGTTTAAAATCAATAAAGTGTATATTTGTTGTAGTAAATTACTCATCATCATCAATTGACAATTTTTACGATGGTTGGCAAACAAAATTAGAAATGCCAATCCTTAAGCGTGCATACACAATGTAAATGCCCGTGATGGTCAGTCAAATAACAGCAACACCAACTGCCAATGAACGAACGAACGTTGAAAAAAAAATATGGGAAATTTGCATTTTTCGTTTGCTCAAAGCCATTTTAATGAATACCATTTGCATTTCATTTTTCATTCACGCGGTCAGTGGACAGTACACAACGCCAAAGTGGCTAATCGAAATGAAGGCTTGTTTTGTCCGCGCCTGCTTCACCGAGCTCCGAGTTTAATATTCGCGCCGCTGCCAAGCAAAATCAAGAGAATCGATTCCGTCAAACCGAAATGCACCGTCATTTCGATATATTAAAATATGCATATGATGTACACGCAACGTCCGTCGCTCTTAATTGACATTTCAAATTTATGCCATCAAATCACAAAGCGGAGAGAGAAAAAAAAACCCTAAACCAAATAAAAACCAATGCAACACATTGTTGGTCATAATTTTTTTTTCTGTTGCTGTTGTTGTTGTCAAGCTTCTCTGCGTTTCCTCTATCAATTTTTCAATGTTTGTATTTTAGCCGATTTTTATGAGAATTCACTTTATTAGGTTTTGTTTTTTGTGTGTGTGTCTTATTTTTATTGTTGTTATAATACAATACAATTTTTGTTTTGTTTTGCTTGGTTTTGGTTCCAATGAATCAAATGATATTCGTAGTCCATATTCGATTTGCATTTGGGGTCATTTTCAACATGGTTGTCAGCGTTGATTGAAATTCCGTTCTGTTTCTCCAGCCATTCATCTCATCGTGTTGTTGTTGTTGTTGGTTTTTTTTTCTTCGGTGGTTCGATTAAAAACCAATTCTTTTTTTCCGTGTTTGTTGTCGTTTCGTCGTTGTGTCGTTATTTGGTGCATTAACAAAAGAAGAGAAACAAAATTTTTTATCGAGAAACAAAAAATCTGGAAAAAAATAAAGCAACATTTTATCGATTCATAAATAATTTATGTAATTGATGGAATTTTGTCTTTTTTTCCGGGCCGTTTGTTTATTCGCCGTTGTGTTGTGGTCTCGCCGCGCATCATTCGTGCGTGCTTCATGGATATTTGTTTTTGTCTGTGCATGAAATCCAACAGAAATGAAAGAAAAAACGAGAGAGAGAGAAATACATTATTTTCATTACATTGAATTGTGCGGTTATTTTTTAATTCGAGCTAACTGTACATGCAACACACAGTTACTGATTGAAATATTGGACAAAACCAAAATATGAAACCAAAAGAGAGAGAATACGCATCAAAATGCTTAAAATCAATAAATTGTGAAAATTATTGAGTTCATAATGATCGAAAAAAAAGTTATTTGATATTTGTAATGAGTATTTGTTTCCGTTTAATCGAAATCGGTCGCTAGTGAGAGAGGGAGATACTTTTCGACGCAATTGGACTGTATCTTCGTCAATTATAATGGGATTGCGTGCTCAATACGAACAAAGTTTGTTACAAAACCAAAAATAAGGTGAATTTAAACGGTTTTCTTTCATTTAAAGAGTTGGTTGTATCTGATTGGCCGCTAATAGCCGTCCATTAGGTTGCGATTTCAAAATTTCCTTCGGGTCGTTTAAATGTGGAGCGGTAATTGAAATTGTGGCTCTGATGATATGTTTAAACGTGTAAGAAAATCCATCACGTTGCCATTCACCATTTGGATTCATTGAAGTGCTTCTTGTAGTTGCACTCGCTCGCTCCGATCGATCCGAGATATGAATGGTAGGCATTCGGCCAGCGGTCGCGATTTGCTACTGCGATACATATCGTTTGCTATTCCAATATAATTTTTCTGGAGTCACATAATACATAATTCATAGTGTTCAGTGTGCGGCCGCGACGAGACAGAGAGCGGGATAGAAAGAGAGAGGAAGTTGCGCGGGAGCGAGAGAAAAGATTTATTAATTTTAAATAAACCATAAAATTTTCTATGATCGCAGAGATCAAGATCATACATGGTGGCCTGAATCCAATTTAAAATACCAAGAATATCATATTGCATATACACACAGCAGCAGCAGCTGCTGAGAGAGTCGATGCTGCCACTGAAAGAAAAGCCATTGTGAAAAAAGCGAGCATTTGTCTTGCAAACACACATGCTCACATATTTCGCCGATCAACGATTTGCCTTCAATTTCGGAGGCTCGCAAAGTCGCGTCTCTTGTCGCATGCAGCAGCAGCAGCAGCTTCGATATGGAATTTTCATTGGATAAATGCACATATATCGAAAACATAGAAAATTATTGTAACAAACGACCACAATATCACTTAGGTGTTTTCACGTCTACTCCACATACATATTAGATTCAATTCCATGTGCAATGAGTTTTTTTTTCACCTACGGTATATTCTGTTGCGTTTGGACTCTCTGGCTTGTAATCTATGATTGCAATCTGACCGAACAAAGCGCTCGACATCTCTTTCTCTCTCAGTCTTTCTCGATCCCTGCACAACAATACACACACCACAGATTGTGTGTAGTAGCCACGCGCAGCTGCTACCTATTCACTGTCGCAGCATCGTAACACCAAAATACAACAATCATATTCAAATTCGCATGATTGCACAAAACCCAAGCACACCAAGGCAATAAGAAGATATAAATGCATTGGATCAAGAGATGCTTCAGTTTTACCACGGTGCGTGCGCGCGCGATCTCACATTTTGCAACAATAATTTTCTGTTGTATGACTTTTTATTGTTGTGTGTGTGTGTGTGAATATTTGCGATTCCATTACTCGCACCATACACCATTTAATGAATCGGTAAAAAAATTCCATTAACAGCAATCGATGCATCGTCAATTTCATTGATCTGATCGTATTGCCGGTGTTTGTGTATTGTGTGTGCATGTTATTTTCTCATCGTTTACCTCTATTCATTCCAAAAGCCAACTGATTGAAATTCAATCGAGAAATGCATATGGTGAAATGAAGAAATTTCAAACACAAACCGCAAATGTAGCGTCGTCAAAGGAACGGTAGTCGCTGGCGCGCGCGGTACATATATTTATTGAAAATGTGCATTCAAATAATTTAGAAAACGGGCAATTAAGGCTCGAATGAATAAAAGAAAATATGATCATGGGATATTGTCGATTGTATACTCCAACCGAGTCGAAATGATCTCATTTGACGATCTTTTCAACGCTATCCATATTTATTGTATGGAGACACGCTCTCAATTTTACTGTAAATTGGACATTAATTACCCATTCAAATTGCGTTTGAAACAATTGTTAGTGGCGACAAGCCACAATTGTCAAGCCGATTCTTTATATTCTTTAGGCAGGCGCGCCGAGATCGAGACGATGGATATTGTGCCGCGCGTCGCATGGAAATTGTCATGTAAATCACCAGTCAATTATTCGAAGATTTTTTTTCTTCGTTCGCTCTCTCTCTCTCTCTCTGTCTCCTCGCGGCAACCAAAATCATCGCGGCAGTGAAATCGAAATAATCAGCGATTTCTCATCGCAAATTCTTAGATAAACTTTGACATTTAGCGCACATACACACGAGCGCGCGCGAGAGGAAAATATCGTATCTAGCGAATGGGTGGCAATGTCTCGAATGTGAAAAACAATGAACACTGTTGTCATCGTCGATCAGTGAGTTTGCGATCGTTCGAGTTGGCTTGCTCGCCTGTCTATTTCACTCGATTGCGCCATTAAAACGAAATGCAAAAATCTGTTTCACATATTCATTCGATGTTTAATAGAATTCATTGTCTCTTTTAATTTTTCGACATTCGTTCGCAAATGAACGAGTGCGATTTTATCGGTTCTCATGATATTGAGTTTTTGATGAGTCACACAATGCACACGTATCTAGCGTGCCTGTGTTTCAGTTTACAAAATCAACGAGAGAGAAGAGCCTATTTGTTGTTTGACTAGACGGGAAAGTTCTCGTTCTGCTTTCGCAAACGAAAAAGAATCGAAATAAAGCGAATTTACAATTTATCGAATGGCTTGCAATGGGTTTTATTTACGTTTATCGGTATGGTGTACTTGCACGCAGACCGCGCGACCCATCTCGACAATCGAATACACAAGCAAATGAACAGAACACGGAAAAATCTAATTTTGCTAATAAGCTGTTCCATTGTTAATTTCAAATTCATGGGCCACGCGCTCGTTCGCTCATTCCATTCGATTTCAGTCGGTTTTGAAAATTGTCGATAGAAAATCTACAACGTGAAAGCAAATCGTAAGCACTCCAATCATCTCTTGAAATGTAAACAATATACACACACGAACGAAAGATTGCTCGTAATGTGGTGTTCTGCACGAAATGCAGTGTGAAAGCATTAACAAACGAATCACAGGCGGACAAAAGAGCAGAAAAAAAGTTGATCGGAATAAATTCCTAGTGACAAAGAGTATAGCAGTGGCTTTTGCAAGAAAAATAAAAGTCTTTCTCTCTTTCACGCAATTGAGCAAGCAACAAACACACACACACACACACACACAACGAACACAGAAAACAGAATGATTTTAATTACCATTAGTTCGGTGCATGTTTATGCATTGCACGTGTCTTTATGCAATGTCGTTCCTGTTTCCCTCCGGTTCTCGCGCTCCTTATTTTCTTTCCACGCCAGTTGCCGTTTGTTGATTACGAAAGCGTCAGTCTAGGTTATGCTCAGTTTTTCTCTTCTGTTATTTGGAATTTGTTTTTATTCTGTACTTGTTTCACTGCCCTTTTTTCCATTTTGCAAGCCGTTTTTCCATTCTTTTTTTTCTCTTCTCTGTGTTGTTTATTTTATGTGTGAATCATTGTGTATTGTTTTGTTTTTTTCTTTTTTCCATCTTCTTACAGTGTGTGTGTGTGTGTGTGTGTGTGTGTGTGTGTGTGTGTGTGTGTGTGTGTGTGTGTGCTTTTTTACCTCTGGTTGCGATTTGTTTGCGGTTCATTCTTCATTGTGTGTATGTGTCTCTCTTTCGTTGGTACGTTTTGCATTTTAAAATAAGAGTGATGTTCCACTCCCACGTGCTAAATTGCCTGCATCACGATTTTGTGACAAATCTCTTGATGATTTCATCCATCGTTGCTTGTTCTCGTTCATTTTGTTTTTGTTCATTTGCGGTGATTCCACGTAATAATCCGTCGCATAGTCATTCATCAATCCGTTATCACCGTCATCAGGATTTGTAGCAAAGTCGTCGAGCAAGAAATACGATTTCTTTTGATGTTGATGTTGTTGCTGTTGCTGTTGCTGTTGTTGATAATGTTTTCCATTTAACACTGTATGCGAAGTCGTGCCTTCAATCAGTTTAGCTTTTGGATGGAGCAGATCGACCAAATGATTCTTTGAAGTATGTGTGGTTTTTGGATTATCTTGAACGCCATTTAGCTTGACAATGACTTCTTCGGAGGGTGTGTAAACAGCATTGAATGACCCTGTTGATGCCAACAAGCTTCGCTTCCGTCGTTGATCTATGTTTTTTTTAGGTTTTGCAAGCGGACGCGAGCGAGTGCGGTCAGAAAGAGAGAGAGAAAGAGAGACGACGACGATGAAGCCGAAGAGGAAAGCGCAGATTGAAATGAATATTAATTGATTGACCTTCGATATTGATCGAATTTTACGGTATTAAAATAAAAACCGAATCGAAGCGAGAAAAAAAATACAGATTGCAAAATGAACATACACTTTTGCAAAGAAAAGATGAAAAAAAAACAAAAATGCAAGAGAAAAATGTGAAAAAATGTAAAAAAGACGAAAAAAAAAATGTAAAATTTAAATTACCTTTTTGTTGAATTGATCGTCGTCCTCGCATCGGATAGAATATATCGTCATAGTCGGCCGATTTGCGACCTCGCATCGGTACAAATGGATCGTCGTAAGCGATACTTTTGGCTGCTGGTGACCAGCTCGATTTGCGGCCTCTCATCGGAATGAAGGGATCGTCCCAAGGTTTAGCTTTGGCACGTTTACTATTATCTTTTGGTGTGCGTCGGCCACGCATCGGTACAAATGGATCGTCCCAAGCGTTAGCATTGTTATCGGCACGTCTGCCCCGCATCGGATAGAATGGATCATCCCATGCTTGTGCTTCAGCTCGTCGACCACGCATTGGGTAAAAAGGATCATCATAAGTTTGAGGTTTTGACTGTCGTCTACCGCGAGCAGGCACAAATGGATCGAATTCCAGAAACTCAGGCCCTGACAACAATGTTTTTTTTACAATTAAGCAAATAAAGAAGAAAGCAACGTACGCATGAAAATAGCAACGAAATTGGTGTCAAAAGCAAACAGAATTTGGGAAGAAAGAAAAAACGGCGCAAGCAAAAAGTTCATTCCAAAAATTAGACAAATGAATAGAAAGCATGTTATTTGAAGCAGAGCGGGAGATGAAGAGGGAAAAGAGAACGAATATACATACGATTAATAACTGTTCTTACGGTGTGCCGACGAGAGAATGTTTTTTTGCGCGGCTTGTGTCACAACTAGAACAAACCTACTGACATTTATCTTTTCTACGTCAAATCTAAAACTATATAATGTGCTCATTTTTTTTCATTTGTTCAACCAAAATGAAATGTGCGCACAGGAATTGTAGTATAAATTGTATGTTTGCTATATACTTGTATATGAAAAAACAAATCAGTTGTCTACGAAGTGTACATGTGAGTTGATAAAAAATCAGATAAAAAATAGCATGTTATACCCAAATGTCGTGGATCGGTGTCGTCACTGCGAACGAGCATATAGTGTGGTTCTTCTGCACCAGTAAATCCACGATCACGTCGTCCGGGCGGACTCGTAATTTGTGCACCTTTTACGTTGACTGGCAAACTGAGCTGCTTCGATTTCCAATCCAAATAATTAGTTGGAAGTGTTATTTCAGCCATGCGCGGGATTTGTTTGAGAAATTTATTCTGCACTTGAATGTTGTTCAATCTGTAAGAAGTGAAAAATGGAGAGAGAGGGAGAGAAAACGACGTACAAAAGACATGACATCGACAGCACCATTCACTTACCAAAATAATAATCAAATGTTCGATTAACTTAACGGTACATGACAATCGATTTCGTTTCGTTTCGCACATAAACATTTATTATTGTATTCAATCAAGTATGACCTTTGCTCGGCAGCCGCCAATTCATCAAAATCACTCGGCAAAAAAGCCATTAGTCATTGCGAAAAGTGATTGATATTTTACACACAGACACACAAACCAAAGAAATGCTGCTGCTGTTGCCTCTCTTGATTGGTGCATAATTGCGCCAACTGAAAGTAGCACTTTTCATTGTTATTTTTACTTTTGGATGCCTCAATTGGGTGCGTTGCAATGCAATTCAATGCATATCCCGCTGAACATGATTCAAGAGATGTTTGGCCTTTGTTTTCCATCACCATCACTCAGTTTTGTTCCAGTTTTACACACGAATTGTACAGCACTGCAAGTCAACGATTAATTATATCGTCGACGACGTCATAATTGTGATCAATCACTCGTCAAGTGGAAGAAATGTCGAAGAAAAACTTGGCTGCAGCCACATTGAGTGAAATGAGTGAAGAAACCACATGCACCACACACTTCTTTTCTCTGTCTCTCAATGTTCGAAGTGTATCTATCGATCGAAATGCAATTGGCAAGGGTTTTCTCGCCGTGGCCGCGACCGCGCAAACACAAGTATCATTTATTAATTCACAAGTGTCGATTAAAAGAAACCTAGACGTGTATGAAGACATCTGTACTGAAATGCTCTTCTATAAACAGATCGTGAGCTAATTGAAAGAAAAACGGACGGAATATAAACGACGAGTCATTATGAAGAGCGCGCGCGAGCAAATAAATGTTGTGGCGTAAGACCAATATTATTTCGCATGACGCGTGTAATAAGACAGAGATCAGTTGAGTGCGCACATAAAACGGATTTCAACTGTATGAAAAGACATTTCGATCAATTGAGAACACGGCAGCTGATTCATACTCCCCAATCAATTAAATCATTTGATAATTTTTCATGAATGAGCGAAAGAGACTTTCCACATTGATTCAGCATGGAAGAGAAACGTTTTCGCCAAAACCATTGACGATGCCATCAATAAAATGTCATAAAAAACAAATAACTCATAAACACATACACAGCACGAACCAGCTTTTTGAAAACATTCGTAATGTTTTTTTCTTCTTCGCTTATTGTTTTGTGTTCATTTCATTTTAATTCATTTTTCACTACAAATTGTCATTTCTTTTGAGCCATTCGAAAGTGCTGTTGTTGTCGACATGCCGATCGAACAAAAAAGCAAAGCGAAACGCACGTCCTAAGCGATGCTTTTCCTCTGACTGCGTAACTAGTTTGAGTACAAGAGCGATGCAAAAACAAATGAAATGATTAATATGCTTCGCTTATTGGCCATTATTACTTTCGATTAAATGCGCCACAAAAATGAGCGCATATTTTTCATTGGTCATCGCCGTTGTGTGTATTCATAAAAAAAATTCAATAGGTTGAAATGGATTGTGTGATCACGCTGCTGTCGAAAGTGAACCGCAAACGATCTCTTTCACATGTGAAATTTTCATCGTCATCAATTTTTCAATTATTCTGGAAGCAATCAGCATTTAAATGCGTATGCTTTGAGAGCTCACTCACTCTCTATCACCCTCGCTCTCTCAAGAAGAAAAACAACAATGACAAAAGCCCGTTCAATTTACATGTTGTATTTGTTAGAAAAACGTACGCAGGAAACGATGACAGGCAACAGTGAGAGAGTTTGAACAGCAAACAAATGAACACACACGCGCTAACTGTCGGTCGTCCAATGGATTTCGAATGAAACAGCTCGCAACTAAATTACGCATTTTAAACGAAGTGCATAACTCTTTTTCATAAAGTTCGTTGTATACGCAACAAGTCACCAAATGGAATAGCGTATGAAAACAAACGAGCGACGAACAATGCCAATTGATTAATTTATTACAGGGAGCTGTCACTTTTGTCAGTTATGAAAATTCCAAACTCATTCGTCGTCTCTCTCTCTCTCTCTCTCTCTCTCTCTCTCTCGTGCGTCTAATGAAATTTTGTGTTGTGGCCATTAGCATTTTGATTGTAATTATTTTCAATGACCAAAACTTGAGCAACCAGCACAAATTGCCTCCCGCGTGGTCCAAAAGAATTTCACATTCTTCACACGTTCTTACATAAATTCATGTAGTGTCTTACATAAAAAAAACGGTGTATGAAACAAACGAAAAGAAAAGATCGAACTGTGCCTTTTACTATCTTCCGTATTGTTTTTTTTTTCTTACCTATCGTCATACATGCAATTTTGGTATCCAGGACCGCAAAAGTAAAGCCGTAGAAAATTTATTGGTTTCTTTGCATCGTTGTCACTGTCCTCGGGCAGAGTAATTGCACCACTATTCAAAGTTGATCCAGTTTCTGTGCTGCCGCCGCTGTCGTCGCCGCCGACGATGCCGCTGCTGCTGCTGCTTCGACGAAACCTGCTACTCTCATAATGTTTGTTAGCTGCAAGCTACAAATTGTATCGTTTTATATATAAGCGATGTGGTTGTGCGTGTTACGAACGAGCGAGAGTGTCGGTTTAATGTTGCAGAAAAAAGGGAAGAAAAAAACAGATTCGATTGTTTGATCTCTTGATTTAATGATTTGATCAGGGGGCTACAAAAATGTAATCTATGGCGCAAAAAACAACAACAATATGTTGTTTTATAACCATTTTTTGTTCTGTGAACAACATGTGATGTTTCGTGAGGCGCTTTGATCGATCAGTAGCCAATACGTGCTATAAATCGATTCGAAACAAATGAAGAATTGCTTGCATGTTACGCTTGCTGCTGCTGCTGCTGCTGCTGCTGTTTTTTTTGTCTTCAATATTTACCTCGAGGGCTGATTGTTGATTATAATTCTCCGTTAATCGATCACTGTAATTTTTGTCAAATGCGGCATTTTGATTGCCACGAACCGATTGAAACGAAACCACCAGCAATATTATGAATGATTGGCCGTTGATCTGCATAATTCTGATTGGGTAATTTTTTTTTTCTCGTACGGCCTTGGAAAAGGAAAAACAACAACTAAACGAAAAATACGACTGAAATGCTTTACTTCAAAACTGAAATCACTGATCAAACCGAAACACAAAAATCGGTTTCGTTTCCAATGTTTTTTCGGATGCACTGAGATCACACAAAATGTTCGCACACTCAAATTGTCACTTGGGTGGTCATATTTTCATATGTAATGGAATTCTTCTTTTTTTCGCTTCTCTTGTAACTTTTTCAACTGAATCGTGTTTTTGAACAATCCCGTCCCAAACTCGGGAGTGAACTAAGAACAATAACATCAGCACATTGGGCTTTTATACCATTTTTAATGTGGCAAACGAAAAGGCACGTCATCACTTGTTTGTTATCATAATCCTTTAGAGAATTCAATCGATGTGGATCACTTTCCTATTTTCTACACCGTTAAGTTCTCGTTCGCTCATTCTTTTTCTCGTCTGAGAGTCATACACACAAACGGAGTGACACTCACTTGTAGCACCGAAAACGACACATTTCAATTTCAACAGAACAAAATACAATTATATGCAATGGTATCAAATCACTCGCACATAAAATTGGCATGTCAACTACGGAAAAATGTGTGTGTGATAACAGCAACAACACGAAAAAAAAACAATGCTTGAAGAAATGTATTTTTTTTAAGTACATGGTTTTGATGATGAATACGACATAGAGAGCGACACAGAGAGAAAAAAAACCGGTGTACTTTCGGTCCGCCTTTGCGATAGAATTTCATTGGAAAAAAAAATGATGGATTTCCGTTTTATTCGAAATTTAAAGAAAGAAAGCAAAAGAATAGCGTATGGGACACAAAATGAACATTGGTACTGTAGAACTTGGCACGAGCTGGCAAAAGAAAGTCATTTGAAGGTCTTTGTGCAATGGCGAGCAAGTATTAAAATATCCGCAGGCTACTCAAATTCAATAATTTCTCCAGAGACATAAATAATGTGCTGGACCCATGATTTCTCTCTTTGTGTATGTTATGCTTTATTCCGTGCATTTTGTCACGGTCGACTTTTCGCATTTGCAAAGAATGAATGGATCGATTATGGAATTAGAATGTGGCCGCGGCGGCAGAAATCCGATTCATCATAAAGGGACACATGCACAGCGAAATGAGCATAAAAAATAGAATTGAAAGAAGCAATAAGCAAGAGGTATGACATAAGAAATACCATTTAGTCAGCTTCGGTGTCAACCCACTCAAACATCTTTGGTCACACGAAGAAATGTATCATACGTGCAAAAATGTATGGCGCTCATGTACGCAAAATGGCATATGTTCAATTAAATTCTGGTTCACCTACCTCATAACACTGTCATGAGAGCATTAGCCGCATTCTGAACGCTCAAATGGATCATAGAGTTCGACCATTATAATGGTGCTTTACATTCAAATCCATTGCCATTCGTTTACATTCACCAAAAAGTTTGCCGCTCAAATTCGTTTTTTTTCTGTCTCCGTACATGTGATTCAATCTAATTGGTTTTCATAAGATTAAAAAATAAAATAAATTTTATTAGCCGGCCAACGGCCGGTCAATGTGCTGCTGGAAGCTATGAAATTTGCTCGTAATTTATGTGGAGCAATAAAATCGGCCACCGTTTTTATATACATTTTTCTCTTTTATTTTCATTGCATAATTTCGGTCTGCGTGTGTAAAGTCATACGAAATTGAGTTTGGCGGACAAAAGTCTAGAAAAACACATCATCGTCTCGCGAAAGAGATGAGAGAAAGAGAGATGTTTTGAATGAAAAAATGAGCAGCCGCAGCAACAGACGAAGATGAAGGGGGAAAAAATCACATAAATTTTAATCTCAATTTAAGTCAACTTTCCCATACGGTTGTTTGAGTGAACGCCCTGAGCATTTATAATAAATATCGAAATCAGATCAAGAGCGAACATATTTACCTTTGCTATAATCCACTGCGGATTACATACACCGACGAGTCGTCATATGAGTCGCGATGCAATTGGGATCGCGTCGCGTCTAGCAATGTGTACATTTCCCGCGTATTTGTTCATTTTTTTATTATTCATTTGGTCAGATGACGCATGATCTGAGAATGAGTTCTTGCATGTTTCCAATCATTTAATTACAAATGGAAAAAAAACTAATTTTTTTCTTCTTCTCATTACAGCGTGAAATAAACGAGGTTCTTGAACAGCGGAAATTGAATGGGACAGCTGCACCGGTCAGCCTTCATGACCAGAATGACATCATTAGAAAGAAAGAAACGATCGAAATGAATCATAATCGTAGAAATGGCGTTGATGGAGCATCAGCGACATCATCAGCAGCAGCGGCAACGAAACATGACAGTTTGCTAGACGCACATTGCAGATTGAATGCGAAAATCATACGGAATGCCAGCAGTTTGAATGCGGCACCGATCAGTGCAAATCATGGTTCGACCATTCGAAAGACAAACGAATGGGCCGAATCGATACTCAAGGATCTGGACAATTTGATAATGTCGAATCAACGATATACGGCCGGCTTAAGTAATCCGATCATCAACGCTGCATCGAATCAAACGATGGCCAATGCAGCCAACGCCGATGTCACTGCCACAGGGCCACCGAAATCGCCACAGAAGCGAAGTACTATCATAAATGTGGTATTGCGAAAAACAACACCGTCAACATCGCCAACCTCGCCGACCGCACCAACAGCGTTCGCATCAACACCGACCAATCTAAACAAGAATCAAACCACGATCATTACAACGACTAAAGACAATAATAAAATGCCCAAACCGGAAAAACATGTAAGTGGCTTTGGCTTCTCGCTTCTTGTACACTCTTTTTCTGTTGTTGTTGTTTTAAAAAATCTGTAGTTGCGTACGTTTTAACATTATATATTGGATTTTCTCTATATCTGTGACCATTCTCTCTCCCTCTATCGTTGGTCGTCGTTATCTCGTCATTTGTTTTCGTCATCTCGCTGCAAATCCCTTTGATCACATTTCACCTCTATCACCTCCATCGTGTGGTGTGTAGAAAGCGCTTTGACATCGCCAATTTTGCACACACTTTGTTCGTTTCCCACCACCAAACGACTGCAACAGCAACAAAACGAGCAACGAAAAACTTTCGCAGCATTCGCAATATGTACATTAGAACCCATTTATAATTACATCGCATCATGAGATGAGCGCTGATAAACATAATCATTATGATTTTATTGCTGTATCTCGTCTTCGTCGTCGTCGTTGTTATTATTGTTTCACTCGGCAGCGATGGCGGTGTGTACTGTTGTTAATTTCACAACTGCCATTGTTTTCACATCGTTTGCATCGGTTGTTTTTATCTTCTCCTCTTACATGTTTGAAAAATATGCGCGCGATTCAAATATAATTAAGTTTATGCACGATTCCGCGCGAGTGTGAACCGAAGTCGATTAATGTTTTTATTGTCTTTGATGGCGTGCGCGACGGCCAGAGAAAGAGCCTCTTCTTTTATCATGAATGGAACCGTTTTGTTTCTTTTCTGCCGTTGTATTGTTTCACACCCGGTATGAAAACTATTAATAAGCTCATTAATGTGGTTATTTCATAAGCCCTTTTTCGCCTGTCATTCAATCGAGCCCATGTTAAATAATATCGTCCATTAAATGTGATTATTACTTTGCGTTCGTTTGTGATTCTGTGTGAGAGGCCATCGAATCCGCATTGTCGTCGTCGTTGTCGTCGTGCGTCTCTCACCGACAATATTCGATTTCCGTGTGCACTTTGACAAGAGCTATGCGTGAGATTAACATCTCTCTTTTTTTTCTCGAATTGATTTCTATTTGCAGTATTTCCACGATTCATTTTCAATTGTTGTTCGGATGAATTGAAACATGCCTGGATACGGTTGGTGTTATTCCCTAATGAGCAATAATTACGATACTCTCGCAAATCAATTGCATATTTTTTTTCGTTTGCAATTTTATTGAATTCTATCATTGATTTCTCTCTATCTTGCGCATTCTTCCATTAATTTCATGGGATTTAGTTTGCCTTGAGCTTGACTTAATTGAATGTGATTCGTTGCGAATGAATCGAACTGAAAGCGGAGAGAAGAAAAAAATAACACATTAAATGGATTTGTCATGAGCACTTTGCTATGCGCTTTTGTTCGAGGATTATTTTAGCGATAAATTAAAAAAAAATTATGTGAGAGAAAAAACTAAACTATACGAATAGCAGTTAGTGAGTAGCTTCATATAAATACAGTTCGTAAAATTGCAAATGAATTACTGGGAAATTAGAATCATTTTAATGATTCACTTGCAAATGCCACGAATGCAATTTCTCACTTTGGAAATGTGGCGTTTTTTTTCTCTCGCGCGATTTTGTCTATAAGGTCAAATGCCAATAAAATGCATAAAATACTAGTTCAATTATTTCGATGCTCGTTTCGAACTTTTGCGTTGAGTAATCAAAATAACACCAGCAATAATAACAAAAACTTTCTCTCAATCTGCATTTCAACAAGTTTTCGTTGCAAATGTAATTAACTGTGTTTGCACTTTAAACTTTGCAACAAGCTGTCTCACTCACCGTTTGTGTGTGAGAAACAAACCGAAGTATAAAACCATCGCAGAGCAGTCATTAGCGAAATGGTCTCAAAGTTATGAGTAAAATTCATACTCAATTGCGGTTTGCAACTCGTGCTAACCCATTTCAACACCCAAACTAATTTCTGCTTTTATTTTCCAATCAACACATCGCTACTCGTCGTTATACACCGATCCGATTCCAATCCGCGTACAATTTGTTGTGTGTGTGGCGTGGCGCGTCTCTTTCATGATAGAAAGCGCTAAGGTGTTGTTTCCGATTAAAATTTGGCATTTTCAACAAATTCGTAGCCAAACTCTATTTTCTTTAGAAATAATAGCATATTTCCTTGGGTAATTTCGATCTGTTTGCATAAGCGCTGCAGAGCAGCGGCATCATACTATTTTGTCGTAGCTACCACCACCTCCATTGCGATATATTGAACTGGTCACCACAAAAACTACAAATTCGATTTCTAAGTACTGTACCAAAAACCCATTATATATTTTGCATTGGGTTGTTGCTGGTGCCAAGTTGAAATTGAGTTGCATGCGGTGTGCAGAATTGTGTGGCTGTTCAAATGTCGCTTTAATTTTGCCACACAGCTGGACTTTTTACGTGCGATGCAATTGAATGCGTCCATGCCAGCGATCACCAGGCAACCAACCAAACAACCAGCTAGCCAGTCAGTCAGCTAGCAGCTGAAACCAAATCGCCCAAAGATAAAAACTAAGCAAAAACAAGAGAGAGAGAGAGAGGAAGAGAGAGAGGGAGAGAGAGATAGAAAAAAAAAACCAATGTGTACAAAATATCGTTTAGTCCATGTCAGCCACACAACAAATTCCAAGAGAGAGATAGAGAAACTCAATAACACGTAGTATATTCTATCTACTGGCAAAAATCGGCATCATGTTCACTTGCGTAATCCCGCCATGCCATTCGGATTACATGAGCCTCTTGTACATTCATACGGTGTGTCGGTCATTCGTGTCATTATATGTTCGTGAGTTTCTCTCACTCTCTTGGCTCTCTGTCTGTCTTTCTCATTTCACCCGAATTCTCTTATTTTTCTAATGCGAAATCAAATCGCATCGCACACATTATTGCAAACAAAGGAACAAAAGAATTGGATTCGAAATGGATCGGTCGTTTGAAACATGTAAACAGCATGTATTGTTGTTGTTATATGAGGGAAAGGAAGGGCCGATTAAAAACCATATAGTTTTTGGAACATGTTTCGACGGTTTTAAAAATTGGTTTTTAGTTCACTTCCAAATGTCCGTTTCGATTCGATCGTTTCTGAATATGACATTTGCGCGCTTCGTCTCAAGCGGTGCCGAGCACGTTTCAAATCACTAGTCTCTGTGCTCTCTCTCTCTCGCTTTGCTCGCGAAAAACTTCGACGGTGAGATGAGGTTTTTATCATAATTGCAACAGCAGCAACAGTGGTCTCGCTGAAAGCGTTTACAAATCGTTCGCATGAAATCACGTCCACACCACACAGTTGAAACACACCGAGAATTATTCTACACGGTCGAACGAGCCCGGGTCCCAAATGCAAAACTCTAAATATATTGAGAATTATTAAGACGTGATATATTTAAACGTGACTATCGACTTTTTTTCGCTGTTGCTGCTGCTGTTGCTGCTGTTGTTGTCGTTACTGCGATTGCATTGTCCATAGTATTCATATTTTGCAATATTCGAGTGGAATAGCGCATTTTTTTCGTTAGAAAAGCGTGCATATTCCTCTAGCTGAACAAGAAGTCAATGCAACTGTACGACGCTGATCAAAGCACTTCATTTGCATGGCCAAACAAGTTCATGTTTTAATTGCGTCTCGAAGGAGGACAAATTAATTCAATTAAAAGTCGAGTCAAGATAAAGAATTTATCCATGAATCACTTGTTACTTCGGCACAAAAAACGACGACGACGATCCGAGTTGATTGATTTATTGCATCAGCCGGATGATGCGTCATTAAAAAAAACTCACGCAATTCGTTCGATTCACTTGTAAATCCAATTCTAAAAAAATTAATCCTAAAAGATTAATTAATGCCATTTATAAAATATGTCTTGCAGCAGCGGCTGTGCTCAGTGTGTGACAGCTGGAAAAGGGGAACGCGCGATTGTCTTGTCGCGCACAATTGAAATCTTGAGAAATAGACACCTTCTTCTTCTTCTCTATCTCTTTCTCAATTCACTGGTGGAGCTCTATAGCTCTTTCTCTCTGGTTATGGTTCTTTCGCCGGTTATAATAATTGGTTTGTATTCCAAAGAGTTCAATTGATATGGTTTGTGTGCAATGTGCAGTCGTCCAGCAAGTTTTTTTTACGCATTGCACAAAATGCACGGCTCGCATCGGATTGCATGTGAAGGAGAGAAGAGGAATATTGAAATTGAATAGGCTCATATTTTATCTATTTATACTCTTGATTTCTTCATAAAGATATTGATTTGACACTTACACACCCAGCTCTCCGTTTTTTTCTTCTCCATTCGCTTCAATTCCTGTGAGAGTAAGAGATTCTTTTATCTCGTCGCTGCGTCTCAAAAGGAGTGAATGCGCTGCAGCCTTTTCTTGAATACCAACGAAACAAAGAACAGCCAGACGAAAGCTGAATATACTCTTGTCAAGGTGTTCGTTGTGTTTGTGAGCGCACAAACACAATCCATTCGATCTGTGCATACAAAATGGGTGAGAAAAAAAAGACTGTGGTCCTTTGTTGAATTAACATAAAATTGATTGCGATTATTCAATATGTTTGGGTTAAATGCAGCTCAGGAATATACATAAACAGCATGAACGAACGCACATTCAACCGATTACGATGTGCTGTGTTTTGCTTAGGTTAAACGCATTCCATGTCGCAAAACAAAACCTTGAGCTGTTGAACCACAACAGAAAGGATTAAACTTATGAAATATGAAGTTTTGAATCTACCTTTATCAAGAATGAATGAGTCAAGCGTATGAAGGATTTTCCATTTCATAAATTACTCAACGTCATCGTTGTTATTCTTCTTCTTCTTTTTTTAGATGAATAATTCGACAGTCGATAAAATTGTTCGCTGTTTTTTTTCGAATAGTAATTTTCTCCAAAGACGTCTCTATTCTCGGTTTCATTGTTCAATCGATTTAACTTTCGATATTAAAATTACACGAAACTACTTGTTATAATCATAACCCGCCCATCGTAATGCGACTCACTTCCCACTATTTTTGTATCCAAGGCGAAGCATCTGAAATCGAAATATTCTCATTGCAAATAAATTATTATGAAATGTATTGACTTTGCATTGCTCAATAGAGACCGTTTTTTTTGCGCGCGCATTACAAGAAAACAATGGGCGATTGTAATCAAAGAGTTATTGAAAGGACCACCACTGCCGTCGCCGCCGTCGACGATACAGTACAGCAGAGACACAAAACTCAATAATACACAATGAATCGAAATTAAAAGTTGTTGTGTGTGTGTATGTTTTGCACATCGGAACAATGATATGGGTGCGATTATTATTGAGCACGACGGTTTTAATTGTCATTGCTTCGGCGAATTACAACAGTTTCGCAAGTTATAATTGTTATGTTTTCAACGAAACAAATAAACATACAGCAAAATCCTGTGCTAATCTCTCGCTAATGACTACAAGCGGGAATGTGCTTGAGTCGAACGAAGGAGAGATGCAGAGAGAGTGAGACTGACTGCTTATGTGCGAGCGAGAAGGTGGTATGCCGCAACATTCTCAAGATTGAGTGCCGATCAATGAAATGAAAATATGGATTGAACCGAGGAAAACCAAGATACATAAGAGCAATCTGCATATCTCAAGCATTTTCTGTTTTCAATCATTGCTCATTTGCATAAACATAACAATAACAACGTATGCATAGTACAGTGATGCTGTAGCTTAGTTGGGTGGTCAACGGTTCAACGTTGCACACCCGGCCAACACAAACACACATTCACAATGCAAACGCAACCTTTTAAATGCAAATCACTGTGACATTTAATCGATCGCGCCGCAATTTATCATCTATTGGAGAGAGAGAGAGAAAAGAGAGAAATAAAATTAGTTGCAGTGGCTCCTGAAATTCTTTTCCACCGAAAAAAATCACATCGCGTGAGTCGTATTTTGATAAATGATAATGGTCTACATTTTGAAATCTCAGCATTTTTTCACGTTTAATACAGACTTCGGAAGATTGTGTGACTTTTTTGTGTGTGCACTTCATAAATGGCAAACAGTTTAATCGATTTTTCATTAATTTCTCCCTGTGAGAAAAAAAAACGCGAGAAATAAGGAAGAAGAGGTGAAAAAAGAGACGGAGGATGAGAGAAAATTGCCCAAAAATATATTTCAATCATGTTGTATATCATACAAACTTTGAGTATTTCTAAACATAAATATCATTTATTTCATCATCATCATCGTTGTCACCAGGCAAGCAGAAGAAAAAACGCGCGCATTCTCGTTCCTTGCTTTATGACAGATCGAAATCAATAATTTAATTTAAAACTCGTTTTGGTTTTCCCTTGAAATACTTTTCTTTCTTCGTTCGCCAATTTTGTACACGACAAGATCCTTATCCCGACTGACCAATTGATCATTGCTGTTTCGCCAAATCAGTACCTACATTTGACTTGATTTGCTTCGGACCTGGATTCTCGTTTCTCTTCTTTTTCGATATCATCTGCTTGGCTTATAAATAATTATTTCATATTTCTACAATGTTCTTTTTCATGCACATTCTTCTGACTTTTGTGCATCCGGTTGACAAAGACATCCATTTTTTCCTTCGATATTTTTATATATGTGCTCTGCTAAAGTGTTTGCAATGAAAATCCAAGTAAAATGCATCTCTCTCGAATGTAATTGTGTATTCAGTACGCGTTGCAATACCAGAGACCAACCGACGTGCGTGCGTACGTAATAATGGGCAGTAGTATGTTGTTGCAGCAGAATTTTACGGTGCTATTGAAATCGCACAAAGAAAAAAGAATGAAGAGAAAAAGAAAAACCAAATCGGTTTAAATTGAAATAAATAAATGATTTACTGAGAGACCTGTCTAGAGACATTAATGTAAAACCTGCGCTTGTAAGTTAATATGAACTTAATTCCATCCATAGTTTTCCTGTTTGTCGATAAAACAGAGAGAAAAAGCGAGTGCAAGAGAGCAAATGGGTATAAGATGCCAGCAATCTTTGGGTTGCATTCTCGCATATCATTCGCTGCTGCAGCCATCGTCGTCGTCACAGCAAAGACCTAAGCTGAGGTGTATAAACACGGCAAGCAGAGGGAGAGACACAGAGAGAGAAAGACAGAGTCTTCCGAGCCAGTTAAATGAATGGAATATCGTCACATAAACAAATTTAATTTATGCACACAGCACACCAAATACGGCACCGTATTTTTACTATTCGATTATGTTTCCTGTGTATTGCATGAGCTCTGAGAATTCGCGCTTCGTTTTGGGAAAAAAGACCCAAAGAGAGAGAGGAGTGAGACGAAGAGGCATGTTCATAAGCGAAATTGAATCAAAGGAATAAAATAAATTGAAAAAATGTTTGCATCCACCCCTTAATCCAAGCGCACTTCGCGTTTTCGTTGTTGCTCCTTTCTTCATTTACTTTTGATTCGATTTTTTCCTCTCCTTTTTATCATTCCATTACGTAGTAACTCATCAAATTCAATGTGTGGCCAAAATGTTGCCAAGCCAATATGAAGTGCTAACCTCATTTTGACAAGATTGTGTTTCCATCGCTAACACACTCGATTCCAGGAACCATGCCTGTAGCTCGCGATGCGTCCGAAGATGCTTGGCAGCACAGATTAAGTGGGCACAAAAAAGTTCAAAGTTGACAATGGATACAGACAGTAAGAACGTCAACCCTCCTTCGTCATTGAATCGCTTACTCTCCATTTATCTTTCATTTTTTTCTCTCCATCGTTTTAATCAAAATCCCAAGAAATTGTATGAGCGCGCGAGCGATAGTATTATTTTTGTTCTTCTAAGAAAAATCTTCCCGAGTCGCGGGCAACATGAAAGCAACACATTATATGCCCAATTACTCGATGCGAGTCATTGTACCGCGCAAAGTAAACCGAATATCGAAAGGAAATGTGTGTATATTTTTGAACATTATTCTAATTTCCGCACTAACTTTCAAGTTTATATTTTCCTTCTGTTTTCTTTTATCGACCAAAATAATTGAAATATTTTTGAATATTTCCCAATTCATCGTTTTCCTTGCTCGGAATTTTCCTTTTTACTTATCGGGCCACTGTTGCCGAGTGCCCGAAAAGAGATGAGATTTAACCGTTGCTCATTCATGTGTGTGAAATACAAAAAAAAATTCTATTAATAATTCACAGACATACATTCCTCTGCAGTCGTTTAGTGTGAATCAGCGTCCAAGAGATCTGCCGCTATCATCGTCGAACAAAACAAATGGACGTAAATATGCCGCTGTTGCTGCTATCGACATATTGGAAAAGTATTCAAAGCAATTTGTTGACTTGCCGCCGCCGTCACAGCCACCGCTGACGTCACACGGGAGCAATAACTTTCCCGTATTAAAAATCGAAGAAGAATTCGATGACATTCCCATGACTAATGGCGCGTTCAGAACAATATCCACACAAACGAGCCCTGTAAATGAATTGAATGCCGGCGGCCGAACGAATAATAAAAAAGACTCTTCAAATAGCCTGTGGACATCGGACGAGTCGATTTTAAGGAGCGGAGAAACGGTTGATGAAGACACCAAATCGTCAGCATCATCGTCGGCATGCGAAGAGACCGGCGGTGTTATTAGCTCCGGTAAATCAGGTAATTTTTAACTTCTTCTCTAGGGCAATTCAATTCTGTTGAAAAAGAAACAAACACATTCTCATACGATAAAAAATAGAGAGTTTGCTTTGAATTCGGTCGCAATTTTGTTTAAGCAAAAAAGCCAAGAAATGTAGTGGAATGAGGCACACAGTAGCAATGAAAATATGAACGTATGGACAGATATAAATATAATTAAAAAAGCGCCTGAATTTATGCAACACTCGAGCAGATAACATATGACTGCCGTATGAGTTGCTTGTTTTAAGTCTATTTTTTGCGATAAGAAAAATGTTTTGTATACGAAAATAACAAAAGAGAATGCAACAAAAACAATGAAAACATCCAAAGGACACACTCGAGCGCGGAAACACGCGAAGGGCATTGATTCACTTTTGACAGCATTCGGAATAAATGTTTTCCACGCGATTTTGCTGTGTATTTTTGTTTGGGAAATTTTTATTTCTTCATAATATTTTATATTATTGCATAAAAAATGGGAAAAAATGAGAAAAACTACCAAATTTTGGGCATAGTAAATAGAAAAAAAAGACGACCGTATCAGTACTCGAAACTGAAACCTTTGGATAACAACCCTTGAAGAATCGAAGTCCAACGCGCTTCCATTGCGCCATACGGCCCACCATAGGTAGCTGGATATTACCGCGTTAAAAGAGTCCATACTCCTTTTATGCGCAGAAGCCAACTTGCACCAATACCAACGCACTCAGTGTACATACACATTGGAGTACAGATCACAGATAGGGTGTGTGCGTGTTATCGAACCCTCTGTGCATGCAGTACAGTACACAGCATTCGCTGTATGACAAGCAACGCAATCGCATGCAACGGGAAATGCTCATGAACAGATAGATGTTTCACTGTTTATTGCTTACGCAAATAGAATCAATTTTTACACAATGAAAATATGCATTCGGAACTTGTATTCACAATGTTCAATTGAAAACAGAAAATTCTTGTTTATGACATTTAAACATGAATACAATTCTTGTTTGAAATGAAGATGAAATCGATGGAAAGAAATTATATCGAAAACATTCAGAAGAAAATCATATGAGAAACAATGTAAATGTCAAAGCCCGCTGTGTTCAATGGGTTCCGTAGCTCATTTTATGTAATTAATTTGCTGGGCTAAATGACTTCCATCCATATCTTTCTACCTGTGTATCCACTCGACAGTAAATCTCGAAGCCAGTTCTTGTAATCACCATCGTTTTAATTATAACCTTTGCGATTTTTCTGCTAAATTCTTACCTCAAAACCCTGCTTATGATTTGGATTAAAAATTTAATTGGATTTCCGTATAGATTCATCTGGATTAGACAATGACAATGCGGAGAGTGGTATAGGAACAGCAACGCCGCCCAAAGACCAGGTAGGTTTTTTTTATTCTGTTAAATGTTACATTTTCCGCCATAATCCATACTCAATGTTCATACAATGTTTCACCGAGAAAAAAAAATGTTTGAAAAGGCAAAGAAAAAAAAAACGAAATAAAATTTCTCGTTGATTAGGAAAATTGGCGTCAGTTGAAAGCGGCACAGCAACAGCAACAGCAGCAGCATGTGGCCGTTACGCGAAAGAATTGGGTTCGACAAGAGAGCGTTATGACACAAACAAATTACGATGATTTGATGCTGGCTGAGCCCGTGTCACCGTTGCACAAAATCCACCATCAATTCGATTGTGCGGCCGCCGATGATCTGGACAATTTGGATGTGTTGAGCTTGTGCGAAGGAACAACCGATGAATATGACAATATTACCGAAGACGATTATCTCTCTGACGATCGAAAACTGGACAAAAGTATCGATACAGCATCATCATGCACAAAAAGTAGCAGCGCTGAACGTGACGACGATTCGGATGTCGTTATTTTAAGAAATCAGAGCAATGCAACCAATCGAGCATCGTCCGCGTACAGTTTGCCTCGCGAATCGGTGGTTCATCATCGTTTGCATGCAACCTCCTCCGTATATCCAATTCTTTATTCGGACAAATCGTTGCACGGACTCAAATCGGAATGTAGCAGTAGTAGCAGCGCGGGTAGTGCTACAATTAGCAATTCCAGCCGAACACAACTCCCGCCGCGTCAACGACCATTCGTACTTCATTTGCACAACGAATCGGCATATCATCATAATGCTCTGGAATTGCCATCGCCCAGCAGTGCTTCGTTGCACAGTGGCCACGGCCACATTACCATGCAAGAGCTCACAACGAAATGCAATTCAGCGCCGATTTTACTGAAGAAAGAACGCAAACGAGACAACGACTTTGTCGGCCATCCAATTGTAAGTATATCAACAGACAATTTTATTCTTGTTCTGTTTTTTTCTTTACTACGTTGTTGATACTGGTTTCTGTCGCTTTCATCTCCGTACAAAATACATTAAATTTTATGTAATGATCCATTTGTTACCGAAAAAAAATTGAGCGTCAACCCGTTGGATGTTGTTGATATCAGACGGCGATTTAATGAAGTGGTTAAACATTTCCTTTGATTCGTTTCGTCTTGTGGCCGTCAGTCACTGGCGCGAAAAGTAGGCCAATTTAAATAGAATATATCAAATGAAAATAAATACACGCACGGTGAAAAAACAAACAACAACCACAATCGACTCTCTCGGAAATTGAGACAAAACACACAGAGCATGCCTCATCGATTACAAATGCTTTGTTTTTGCTTTTGCTTCGCGGGATGAAAGCGATAGTATTATGACGCGATGTGTTCGCTGCTACGGGCAGCGGTAGCACACTCAATATCCATCCAAATCATATAAAATGATAATAAAAATGGCAGTTATTAAAAATACGGTTCATTTTTCTTGGTTTATTTTTAGAATCTTCGCTATTCTCGTTCACAAAGCGACCGATATTTGGCCGGTAAGTTCATTATTCGCATATGTTTGATTTTTTAGCGTAGCCGCCTTGCTTTCTACTCCTATCTTTCTTTCGGCTCTACAACGCGAGACTATAAACAACACATCTGGCAACGGATGAGCAACGCAATGTACTATGAGCCATAGAAATGTATGACGTTTGCACCCAAAAATCATTTTTTATTGTTGAATACGTCGTATTTATTATGTGGCCGTTTGAAGTTCGGCTTCGACATGAAAATTTGAGAATATTTGGAACATCCGCCCCGTGTGCAAATAAAGTGACTGACAGTCATTCAGTTGTATGTAGCTGCAAATAACTAAAACTGGCTAAGTTGATTGAATTCAAGAATGTTGTATAGAAACAATCACTTTTAGTTATTCTTTCAGCCAGCCGTCTAATTTCGGAACTATAACTAAAGTTGACTACAGTTGAATATTTTGTTCGAGATAATCACTTTTAGTTACTGATAGTCAGCCAAAAAGTCCGAAATTAGACGGCTGGCTAGTCAGTCACAAATTTTTCACACGGGTCTATACATCAAAACGGTGTGTGTGTAGTATGTCATGCCGTGCCCGTTGATGTACAGTTGAAAGAATTTTAATGAATGTGTATTCTGTTGAAATGTAAAATATTTGACCTGATTATTAAAATCGTCGTTTTGGCTACCGCTACGGCTGCCTGCCCAAGTCATTGATGCATGAGGTGTTAATTTTCCGTGAAGTTGTCCACTTAATCAGCAAATTACGTATGTGAACAACGGAATTTGATGAAACACACACAACCCGGCAAATCGATGAATCAAACCGTTGGGAATTCTTGTAATTGAACGTTTCATCTTCTCTACGCGTATATGGCACGAACAGGTGGAATTGTGACTATGTGGAAGATCATTTCCACGAATCACATCCAAAACAAAAACGAAATATTGACATTTATCACAATTCACACGAAAATGCGTAGTATCATCAATTGACGCATTCAATCTATACCATCGCTCTAGATTTGTAATCGAATAACAGTATTGTTGTTCATCGTAATGAACAGCATTTCTCTCCGTCTCTGTCATTCTCCCAACGTCATAAGCATAAATGTAATTGCCCTTAATATGCACAAATCCAATCCGAGTTACTTCGCAGCAGCAGCAGCAACAGTAGCAATGGGATCGCACAATGTGCAAATGCATCATCGCATGAATCATTCAACCGCACCACCATGTGCTTTCCATACCCTCGCAAAAATAAGTATCGATGTGTATTTTTAGTTACATGCTTTTAATTGGCATGGAAATGCTAAACTCCCAACATGGAAATAGCATATACTCTTTGTATTTTATCACGTGGTATGCTCCAATTTGGCATATTTTGTTTCATAGCAAAGCAAAGCAATTTAAATGGTTGTAATGCTCTTATAGCTTCATTCAACGATATTAATTCAAAGTCCTTCCTATTTAAATCCAACTACATTGTTCATAGTCATTCAAATGATGTGACGGAACATTTTGGCTTTTGTTCGAGTGGGAAGATAGTTATACTATTTTTGGAATTGACATTTTACTTAAATGAAACAAAAGCATTTTTAACGGAAATCCCTTTCGATTCATAAGATAAACATAAATATGGTTCAATTTATTTGAAACTGCGTTATATAAATATGTAGATTAACCCCCGCACAGGCACATATTTTCAAACTTTAGTTCAGGCACTTGGTGCCTGGCCAGACCCCTATGCATTTACATGCATTCGTGATGCATGCCATCTCATTTTTAACGGAACTGATAAGAGATAAGTGGTATATATCTTCAGCAAAGTTGTCGAGCAGGTCAAGCACTACAATTTTTTTAAAGACAATATCTTCTTATCTCTTATCAGTTCCGCGAAAAGTGATAAGAAAGAATCGCGTTTTTTCGCGAAACTGATAAAAGATAACGGCTTGGTATCTTCGGTAAAGTTGTAATATTCAAGGTCCCCTACAAATTTTCTGAGGGCAGATATCGCTTATCTCTTATCAGTTACGCAAAATACGCAGATAACCTCAAAAAAGTCGCGAGATAAACGCGTTTTTCCTCATCGTTTTTCACGTAACTGATAAGAGATAAGGGATATGTGTTTTCAGCAAATTTGTAAGGCAGATTGAGTTCTATAATTTTATTCATGCTACATTTCAATATCTCTTATCAGTTACGCGAAAAAACGCGAGTTATCATTTTTTTATCATTCATAATTTTTCGCGAAACTGATAAGAGATAAGGAGATAGTATCTTCACAAAAAGTATAGTACTTGACCTGCTCTACAACTTTGCTGCAGACAGATATCACTTATCTCTTATCAGTACCGTGAATAATGAGAAGGGGAATTTTCGCGATTTTTCGCGTATTCCGCGAAACTGATTAGTGATAAATATATCTGTCTTGAGGAAAATAAACGAGGTTATGTAAGAGAGGCAAAAAACCACATAGAATCATCAAAACACACTTTATTCCATATGTTTTCATACAAAATATATAGGGGTCTGGCCATGTGCCTGTGCGAGGGTTAAATGCAGACGTCTGCAAGGTCAAAAATTCTAGGGGGGGTAAAATGATTTTGCCACAGGGGGGGTGAAAATTTATTAATGGGGGTCTGAAAATTTATAAATGGGTGTCAAAAAAAAATGAAGACCTAAAAAAAAGGTCCTCACTTTTTAAAATCGATTATATCTCACATTTTGGAATCCTAGAGGGGGGTAAAACCGGAATACCACCCCCCCCTTGCACACGTGTGGTTAAATACAATTTCATTAAAAATAGATACTCAGATTGAATAACGACCAAAAGAACTGATGCATCATTTGCTGGCAAAAAAACCACTTATCAATGAATACGTTGGAAAGTTGTCATAATGAACGATAATCATTTCAGTAGAAAGATCGATGCGTTTCCAATTCGCCTTATTAAATTTTCGCAGAAAATGCATTTCTTTTCGTTTCGTTTCGTTTCTTGTCGTTTATATTAAAAGGAATATGTGGACTTTTATCGGTTTAACAGAAGAAAAGAACTCTTCTGTCAGTTTGAGAAAACGAAAATTGACATTCATTTCATCGAATGACATGTCTTTTGATTTCCATCAATAGTTGTTGAACTGCGACACGAGCATGTGGATACATGTTGTGCATTACATTTGTTGGTTGGCATTGGTTGGTAATAATGTCATTTGATTTAATATTGAAAGCTCATAAAAACATCGATGTTCCATTATAACGAAAGCAACAGTTTTAAACAGAACACGCAAAACGGTCGAATAATAGCAAACGAGAGATGGCATATCAGGCGGCTGGCCGTTGCAGAAATAGATTGTGGTAAATGTATACAGCTGTGACGCAAATATTTTATTTTTCCATCAGCTCCACAAGTGAATGCATAATGTCCATGTGTTGATTAGCCATCCAGAAAGGCGCTTATACTGTTCTGATACATTTATATAGAACCAAGAATAGCAAAGGCGCTATACTATCGTATGGCAAACAACACAATTTCCTGCCATCATTAGATGGAAGTGATTTTGAAGTTTTCCCTTCTCATTTCCACCAACAACAATAAAAGACGAACGCTTTCACATTTTCAAAACTATATATTCGTTTGCACACAAATTCTGACCCAATCGAAAACATACACACTCCCACAACCATAATAAGGTTGCTGCTCTCAATTTCTTAAAGTATGAGGGAGATAGAAACACAACGGGAAATAACGGCATTGGATACAATACGATGTGTTGCTCCATCAGAAAGAATCTCACAGTCTGTATATCGTCGTGTGGTTGATTCGCTTTCCGTTGAATTCGATTTTGCTTTCAGTTTCTCGTGTATGGAAAAACTATGTGCGTTCCTTCGGGTTTTTCGATGCAGACAATATACACGTATATAATGGAGACCAAATGAAAAAAACAAAACGAATCGAGTGCTCGCTTGCAGTGTAATATATGGTGGATGCGATGCGCGAGCGTATTTCGTACGAGACAGAGAAGGAGCATTTATTCAGTGCTTGTATCCGAACAGTTTCAGTATTATCATCATTTTCATCATTTTTCCCGTTTACTTTGATGCTTTTCATTGAATTGCCGTTATTTTTGTTGTCTATCCAGCACACTCGTGCACAAACTACACGCGCGCGCACACACTCTTGCACCACTCTGTTGTTGTAGTCGACATATACAACACGGGGGCCCAATGTTTTCTATCCATCGACCGATACACACAACATCTCAAATACACGGAGAGCGTGAGAGCAAGCAACGAGATTGACTCACTCACTCACTCTCTCTCTGTCTCTCTTTTCTCTATCTATCGATAGCTCTACGTGAGCTCTCAGCTCCTAGCTTCTTCGTGTGTTTTAATTGTGCTTTTATCAAAATAAAAAAAAATGGTTTAATATTTAAATTTCAGTAACGTTCAGGGTGTCGAATGAAACGGTTTGGTGTTGTAGCAATAAGCTGACACGCATCGTTCAGATTCAACAGGAAGAAAATAGCATTTAGAGTCAGAGTAACTTATGTGTGTGTGTATATATGAGTGGTGGCAAACGACACAACATCCCTGCAGTTTTTGGTTTCACTTCGAACGGAGTAGTCCGTTTGAACGGAGATTCCGTTATTACCTATGGTACTTTCAGTTTCGGGAATTTACTTTTGCAATTTCATCTTGAGTTTGAGTAGCAACAAAAAAAAAAAATCAAAACAAATCGAGCGAAATTTCTTGTTCTTTTGAAACAGTGTTATGAGTTTTTATTGCTTAACAACAATTAAACGATCATTTTATGATCGCCCAATTATTACGAGACGATTTAAATCATGCTAAAAACGTGGTAAATTTCAGTATTTTCTTTTCTTTTTTATTTGCGTTAATTAGCTTTGCTGTTATTTTCCATTCGCCGGATTGAAATTTTCCGAACCAAGTTTGATTAATGAGAAAACCATTTTCGATCAACGAGATTGTTGAAGAGAGAAAAAACGAAGAAAACGTGTCG